TGAAAATAAGTAGAGGAATGAAAATGAAAATTTTAATGTTTACCAAACAGGACTTAAAAGGAGAAAATGAACATGGCTAGCTCATAAACATTATTCTTCTTGTCCTAAATTATTGGCTCGGTATGACTACCACCGACAATTATTTTGAAGATATTTTCTTATTATTTATTGATTTTTTGAAGAAAAACTTTTGTAGGAAGAAAATTTTATGTCAATTATTGAATATCTTTTTAATCAAAATGTTGGAGAAACTGACAAAGATGCATTAATGCATACACAAAAATAGTGTGACATATCGAAAATCATAAATATTTGGAACTTTCATATTTTAATTTATAACCTATCGTCTATTTTGCGCAAATTTTGCCAAATATGACATTTTAATACAAAAATATTTAACATATGAAACATGTTAACAAATCATTAAGTTCTTGTTGATAAAAAAACTCGTAGCAACTTTATTTTCTTCTCTTAAAAATGGTATTAAAAGTTAGGGGTGTCAATTTGATTTGTTAGTTCAGACGGCTCGCAATTCGGCTCATAAAAAGTCCGAACCACTTAGGTTGCGGCTTGATGGAACCGAGCCAATGCTCGGGTTGAGCCTCTTTTTTGAATGATAAGGCTCGATAAGGCCCGAGCTTAATGCTCTAGCCAAGTCTCAGTTTTTCGATCGAGAACCGACTCGACCAGACTTGTTTACATCACCGTGATAAGTACATCCCCATTTCAAATAAATTATGAATCATTAACGATATACTATTTTAATATTAATGAAATTTGAAGCAAAAAAACGAACATCACAATTTAAGTGGACGATTTTTAACACGTCTATATAGAATTGACTTGTAAAAATTTCTCTATTGAATTCTTTCACGTTAATAAAATATTTTCTAAGTATAATGAAAAAATTAGAAGACTCTCTACAAAATAATGCCGAATTTTATTTTTAATTTGAATAACGTCAAATTTTGAACATGGATTTCATCAATCACTTATATTTTGACTAGATTATTTTGAGATTAAAACGAGGCACGATTAATGCCTTGATTAAAGATGCTGAAAATATCTAGTGCACCATGCCTAACACAGTCAAATGGCGGATTAGGTTATGTCCAAAATTGTTTTTTTAAAAGGGAGAAGAATTTTCTTATAAGGAAATGAAATGATTCGAAGAGTGCAACCTAAGCAAGTGAAAAGGGGCAGGATGCATGATGCTCAACTTATTCAAATTTTCTTTATGTGTTGACAATTTAACATTATTTCAAAAATTGACTCTATCTCGTCTAAAATTATTTGAAATGAACTCGAAAAATAAAAGAAATCGAATTAAACCCAATTTTAAATTTGTAAACTCTGACGAGCGCAGCTCGAGTTCGACCTGCAAACTTAATGAAATGTTATATATAGTAGAGTTGTTTGAATTAAGTTCAATATAAAAGCGAATCAAAAATCTTTTTTTTTTTTTTTTTTGAAAAAGTACGTTGGAAATACTTTAGAATTGAAGTGTGAGTTAGTACAAGTGCATCAAAGGGTTGAGAGGGCAAAGAATCGTCCAATGAGGTCAAAAACAAATACATCTCTGCAGCTGTTGAGTCATTTTTTAATTATCCTAACTTAATGGAACCGTAAATTATAAAAGTCAGCTTATAAATAACTTAAAAAAATTAATTCGTTGAATTATGTTGACTATGTCGCCGTTTCTTTTTGCCAACTCAACATTTTCATTAGTTGGAATGACAAGTATAGATAGTGTATTACGATCATCGATTTCTAAGCGTACACGTGTAATTATAAACTGCGATTATAATCGAGAGGGATTGTTCTTTGCTAATTGCGCTAATAGCATTTTTATCGAGTGTGGTCTTAGGTGACATTTACGACTTAGCGAAACGTTAATCAATAAGATGTCACGTTATAAAACATTATTGACAAGATTGTTACGTCGTAGTTTGGAAGTAGGGTAATGCAAATCGACTATGGTTCCAAGTTTTCATAATTCTTACAGGTTACTTAAGCATTGCTGGTAATTATAATCACAATCTCGCCGTTAATTGCAGAAGAAAGTGTGTCTGTGATCAGTAATGATATTTTTGTCATTTCATCCAACATATAGTGATTTGAGTTATTATCGGCAATGATATTTATGTTAGTAAACATTTGCTATATTAATTTTTTATTAACTATATTGGAAAAGAATTTTGAAGATCTCAAATTGCATGTGTAAATCATAGTTACTATTTCTATAACAAAATCAAATCATTTACCATGTAGATATACACATATTTTAGACCTTGGAATGGCGCAGTGCATCTACATCTGTAATCTGTATACGCGTATTCCATTCATTCAAATGTGGGAAAAAAGTAAGGGAAAGCGGTGGTGTGGGACCCGTTGAGCGGTGGCGAAAGGTTTGAGAGTAAAAGCCAGCTTGCAATGCCTCACCTACCGTTTTATTTCTTTTTAGCCTCTCTCTAATTTTCAACTTCAGACGCCATTTTTGGTTGCTTTGAACTCTTTTTACTCTCTTCCTTTTCCTTCTGTTTCTTCATACACATAAATTAGAGGGGGGAGGAATAGTATAGGTAATAAGGATTTGTTTTTTGTCCCTTTGTATCGTGCCTTGAATTTTGTGCCCAATAAAGGGTTACTGTGTTCTTTGCTACTGTTCTTGGAGCTTTTAGGCGGGATTTTTTTTTTGGGTTTTGAGCACAGGTTTGTCTCTGCATATATCTCTTTTACACTTCAAAATTGTTTATTTTCTGCGTTTCTTGCTTGGAATTTAATAAAAAATATTTCTTTGGGTCTTTTCTTCTTTGTTTTCATAACAAAAAACTTTGTGGGTTTTTCATTACCTATTTTTTGGGTTTTGCTTCTTGCAAAATTTTGGCCTCTATATTCTTGAGGAAACAGAAAGGCTGAGAAAGGAGGGTAAAGTTGGAGTCTTTTTGCTGTATTTTCTAGTAACCCGGAGTCCCAGAGTTTTGTTTTCTACTTCTCTGTCTGTGTAATGCGAGAATTTTGTTAAGAGAAAAGATGGGAAAATTTGAGTCTTTGTGGCGTTTTTTCCCTTCAAATTTAACCCAAAAAGGGTTAACTCATCAAATTTAAGTTACGCAGTGTAATCTTTCGTTACCGAGTTTTTCTGTAACTTGCCATTTCTTGAATATTGCAATCTTCTGAACTTCTACTTTCTGTAACTTAACATTTGAGGAATTTGATTGTTTTCTTGCTATTCTTTAACTTTACCGTTTTACCCCTTTTCTTGCAGAAAAATTACTGTAAATTTTCAAGTTTGGAGGTGTTGTACATTTGGTTCTTGAAGTATTCCCCCTTGCAAACATCCAAACTTCAAGGTTTGCCTCTAACCCAAGAGTATTATTTTTATTTTATCACATCCATTGATAAAATTGTGTCGGTTTATTCTTAAGCCTTGTGTTCACACTTGCTTGGAATATCACTCCATTTGAAGTGTTTTTATTCCCCTTCATTTTTATCATTAATTTACAAGATTTTTTAATCTCAGATGAAAGTAGTCTTCATTTAGCTTACGCGGTGCAAGAATCCAAAATTGCTTTTAACAAAATTTTTCATCTTTTTCTGCTAACATGCGCCACGCAATCCCTTTGAGCTGGCAAGCATTGTTATCAGCAAACTTTCTGGTGGTCCCCAACTCCACCTCTTGCGCACGCTAGCATCAAACCACTTTCAAGAGATTCTTATTCATCCATTCATTATCTATTTGTATGCAGATGTTAATATGCTGGCACATGGTAGTTTCTTAACTGTAATTCTTTTTCCTTTTTCAGGGAAATTTTCTCGTAGAATATAGAGTGATGGGGCCTAATTTCATGGATGAAATTGAATGTGGAAACTTCTTTGATCAAATTGATGACTTAATCGAGTTCCCCCCTGAAAATGAGTGTGCTGGTGGTGGCCTTGTTGTTGATGGTGATATCAAGGATTTTCCGAGCATTTGGGACGATGTGTTGCCTGATACTGACCCCCTTTCCTCCAGCAGCAATGGTAGTGCTCCATCTGACCTCTCGACTGAGCTTGCTGTTCCGGTGAGTTATACTCTATTGCCATGAAATATATTGCTCTTCATTTGGTTATAAAGTAGTTCAATATGTGCAGTTGGTGAAATTTTTCGGTCGTTTGTTGTGCAATTGTATAATTCGTTGTGTGACCACGAGAGATGTTTACTTTTGTGCAAATTCAAAAGTTTTTGCCGAAGATCATGCTCAAATACCGCCATTCTTTGCTCAAACTTAAAAAGAGATAGTGAACAACTTAGTTGAGTATGTGAGTTAATTAGCCGACTCCAAATTTGTTGGAAACAAGGCTTAGTTTGTTGTTACGTCGTGTCATTATTTGATTTTGTTTGCCAGTTAGGCAGTCGATGTTAATTAATATTGCCATGTTATTGATGATGTTGATTGTCACGTTCTTGGCAGGGGAAGGGCTTTTAATAGATTTTTGGGTCATGTCTGTATGATATCTATGATAAATTATGCATTATTGAAAATGTGGGGACATGTTTGGTCAAATTTAATTTTAAAATTCAAATTCGAAATTCATATAGTATAGCTTTAGCCAAGTCTAGAAATGCTATTTATGTATGTTCAATAAATGCTGATTCTTTCTTTTGTTTTGTTCCCCCAGTATGAAGACATTGTACAGCTAGAATGGCTTTCGACATTTGTGGAGGATTCCTTCTCGGGTGGAGGGTCGACCTTTGGAAAAGAGAACACTTGCATTAGCACGGAGCCATCACACAACCAATTCCAAATATCGAGCCCTATTTCTGTACTTGAGAGCAGCAGCAGCTCCTGCACTGGGGGGAAGATTATGCCTCTCAGTCCGACTCACCGGGGTCCACAACGTGCTCGAAGCAAGCGTCCTCGTCCGGCAACTTATAATCCCCGACCTGCAATCCAACTTATATCCCCTCCGTCTTCTTTCATCGAGACTCCCCGGCCATTTGTTACTCCTGGAGTTTCTTCAGAATCTGAAAACTTTGCAGAGTCTCGACCAATGAAGAAGATCCCCAAACTGGTTTCCAGAGTGGAAAAAACGAAGAAGAAAACCCCACCTGAGGGGAATCAGAATGCTCCAACACAAGCGGTTAGGAAATGCTTGCACTGTGAGATAACAAAGACTCCCCAGTGGAGGGCTGGCCCAATGGGACCGAAAACCCTGTGCAATGCATGTGGCGTCCGCTACAAATCAGGCCGATTGTTCCCTGAATATCGTCCCGCTGCAAGTCCTACCTTCAGTCCGTCTTTACACTCAAATTCTCACAAGAAAGTCGTTGAAATGAGAAGCAAGATTGGGGAACATCCTGCAGCAAATACCCAAATGGCCACCGAACGGGAGCTCATCCCAGAAGCTTCACCGGTATGCATGTGACTAAACGATGTGGTTCTATCTTAGGTTCTTTCATTTGTTCATTGGTTCTTTGTACAGTGATGCAGTGGGGTCAGTTACAATATTTAGCTGAGTAGAAAGGAGGAGATGATAAGAGAATCAGAAAAGGTTAGAGAGATTACAATGGAGTTTAGGGGTCAGTAGCATTTAAACTTGTTTAGGTCTTATTATAATAGCTTTGTGGTCAGTATTTCCCTCTTTTGGGAATTCCTTTTGCAGTTGATTTGTCGTAGGAATTTCTTAAATTAGTACTTCTCGAATGGTTGTCTCTTGTTATTTGATGGCTAGGTATGGTTTCGACGTTGTCGAGCATTAGTTAACAACTTATGTTGTGATTTCGAGACATTTTCACTCCTGCAAAATTATAGGTCAAGGCAAACTATTTTCTCGCGTTCTACTACAAGTCTTGAGAATTAAGAGTCCGTTTAATAGGCAAAGGTAGAAAAGAATTCCAATTTTATGTTAGTTGGAAAATAAAAATTCACCATACTCATAAGAATTCGTGATCCATGAAAACAAAAAAAATTCAGCTTAAAGTTTTTGTAGCTTAGAAGTAAGTCGAACCAATTCAACTCGTTGGTGGGGCGAGTCAAGTTGACAAGTCGCTCTTCTCACTTTACAAATTCTCCAGTCGCAGGTGGACCTGGGACAACATCCGAACCAGACATTGATTTCTCGCAAGCAAACCAAAAGAATAACAATGTTATTTGGCATGTAAACTGTTGTAAGCAACTGAATCAAATATGTACGAGTCACAAACCAACCTGTAAAGAACACCATCCTATTAAAATTGTTGGTACGGAAGATTTGTTAAAATTGTGTGAATGATAGGAAATACTACTAACTTCTTGAAGATAGATTTACTAGAGGCCTGTTTGGTACACATTATTTTTTTCATTCTCATTGTTCTACTCATTTTTAACCACACATTTTTCAATAAAATAATATTTCCCATCACATCAATAACTTTTCCTTTTTTTTTTACCACATATTCTCCATCAA